CTCGTCCTCGGTCGTCCCCTTCTCCTCTTGCCTTCACACTTTCCCAACATCAGGGTCTTTTCCAGGGAGTCTTCTCTTCTCGTGAGATGGCCAAAGGATTGGAGCCTCAGCTTCAGGATCTGTCCTTCCAGTGAGCACTCAGGGTTGATTTCCTTCAAAATGGATAGGTTCGTTCTCCTTGCAGTCCAGGAGACTTTCAAGCGTCTCCTCCAGCACCACAATTCAAAAGTATCCATTCTTTGGCGGTCAGCCTTCTTGATGGTCCAGCTCTCACTTCCATACATCACGACTGGAAAAACCATAGCTATGACTATGCGGACTTTTGTCGGCAAGGTGAGGTCTCTGCTTTTTAAGATGCTGCCGAGGTTTGTCATTGCTTTCCTCCCAAGAAGCAAGCGTCTTTTAATTTTGTGGCTGCTGTCACCATCTGCAGTGAATTTTTTATTTTATACTATACTATACATTTATTCTATGTATTTACTTTTGCATAATCGGGTCTATGACCGCATAATAAAATTTATTTACTTAAACTCTTATGTCCCCCAAAATGTAACTACAGAGCATAAGCCATTGATTCCCATACACACAGACACACAAACACACACCTCTCCTCTTGGCGCACAGACACACACCAAACAGTGTCAGCCTCCCTGCACCCTCCCCACCCACCACGTGTCATGCCAGGAGAGCCATCAGACTGGGAGCTACCACGCTTCCCACAACAGGACTGACCGTTCTCAGACCACGTCCTTGAGACGAACAGCAGCACAGAATTTATTGGAAATTTATTGATGTATTTATTTATTAATTGGGGAGGGGAGTGTATAACCCTAACCATGCTGCTCAGATCAAGGGAGACGTGTAACAGGTCGCTTGCTGCCTGAAGCAGCCGCCTCGCCCTACCCAGAGGCTCAGCCATGCTGGGCCGTGCCCACCCCATTGCACAAGCCGCCTGAGGCAGCAACCCCTGCAGTGTTGCAGAAACCTTCTGCAACCTCAGTGACGTTCTGGGGCAACCGTAGTCCAGCTAAGACCCTTGTCCAATTTTATTGCAATCTGGATCCATCTCCCAGGCCAGGCGGGAGCTAAGCTCGGGGTTCGTATATACAGTGTTGATATATATTCTTGCAGAGTGCGGGCGGCATACAAGTTGAATGGATAAATAAATAAATGAATATTTGTCCATATGCTTTGTTTCTATCTGGGGTGAGACTGAAAGATCCTCTCATCCAAATGGAGAACGTAAATCTTTCAGATCTTCAGAACGTAATACATTCGCCATAGGAATACATTGAAAAGGTCTCGATCCTGCACCAACAATTTAAAAAAAACCCTGAGAATAAAATGTGCAGCTCGTAGTATCTTGCCTCATCCCTGTGCTATTCATCAAAATCATCATCATCATCTTGGAACTTCAGAGCTGGAAGGGTCCCTGTGGATCATCCAGTCCAGCCCCTCTCAGGGAGGCCCCTTGGGGGAATTGAACTCCCAACCTCTAGCCCTGCAGGGAGAGACCTGTACCCCTGACCTATCCAGTTGGCTCATAATCTTTGAACAGCAGAGCTGGAAGGGACCCCCAAGGATCATCCAGTCCAGCCCCTCTCAGATAAGCCCCGTGGGGGAATCGAACTCCCAACTCCGCAGCCAGGTGCCTAAATCACCGAGCTATTCAGCACGGGATAATAGTTATGAAGAAATGATCTGGTTAGTTTTTGTTTGTTTTTGCTTAAACAGCCCAGGGATTTGTAAGTTTTTTACTGCTGGGAAACGCCGGTCACCCCGAACGGCTTCCGGCCCGTCCTTGTTTGATCAGCTGCTGCTCCCCAACCCCAGAAAAAGGCTCAAAGCTCAGCAATTCACAGGGTGAAAAAGCACTGCTTCGGGTGCTGTGCAGAGCCATAGAAAGACACGAGATCAGATCATGGAAATATTATTACTTTTTTTGGAGGATTTATCCTGGCTGCACCTCTTACCCCTTTTTCGTGGTCTACTGTATGGGCTGCAGAGAAGACATACATCCACATGCCCAGCCAGGTGGCATTTAGATTGAATCGAAACCCACGGACTCACCATGTTCAAGATATCTCTTCCAGAAGGCCGTTGCAGCTGTCTGTGAAAACTCCGGTGGTGTTGCTTCCCCCAAAAGGGCTTAGTCAAAATCAGGTGGATGGCAGCTCTGGAAATCCTCCGTCCCGGGGTGGGTGGGAAAGGAAACTCCTACGGTCCTTCTCTCTGGAGGGTCACCCAGTCAACCGAAGAAGACCCTTTTCTCCACCGGTCCAGCCGCGCATGCATACGAGACAGAAGGACGGATGTGTTTATTCCTCAGCCAGCGCTGAGGAGCCCGACTGCCTTGGCCATGGCACGGTGACGCGGGCGTGTGTTTTCAATTTACTTAAGTGCCGTGGAATGCTAACCACTGACCAAGACTGAGAGCTGATTTACAAGAAAAACAGAACACATCCCCCCCTTCCCCAGGAACTAAGAGGGAACATATTGTGCTTGCCACCATTACTAAAAATTACTAAATACTAGAACTGATCTGGACTAGACTGCCAGTGGGCAAATTGAGGGCCTCCAGAAAGGGCTGGGTTGCAGTTCCCATCATCCTTCAACCTTGGCTGCTGGGTGTTGCAGCCTGACAAACATCTGGAAGGGCTTAACTTGTTGGCCCCTGCAATAAATGAACACCTGTCCAGCTTCCCTTCCACAAGGAAACGTTCTAGTCCAGGAAAGATTAGTCAGAGAGGAAAGGGGGAAAAAACCACATAAAACTGGGCATCATCCTTCTCGTGGAGGAAATTGTCTCACCCGAGGGTGGAGTGTTTGAGCATCTCCCTCTTTTAATACTGGAACAAGGGACATCCACTGGAACTAAAGGGAAGTGGGCACAGGATAAAGGAGGGATTTCTTCACACAGCACATGGGTGAACTGTGGAACTCACTGCCACAAGATATAGGGAGGGCTGTTAAAACGGAGAGGCCTAAAAAAGGAATGTAAAAAACCCACCAGTAGCTACCGAGCAAGGCAAACCTGCATCACATTCCATACTACAGGCACCCTAATCTATTCCACGGTGATGTTTTGAACTGCGTACTGAACCGATATGAATTCTTTTCATGGTGGGGTTGGTTTTACTGGATTTTAATTACAGTATTTTACAGTAAAAATTGGCTTGACCTGTACTCCTTCTTGTACCGATATTAAAAAGCCCATTGAGCATTACTTTGTAGTGGAGAAGTGGGATATAAAAGATTTTGGAATCATCGTAGATCACAAGCTGAATATGAGCCAAGAGTGTGATGTGGCTGCAAAAAAGGCCAATGCGATTTTAGGCTACATTGACAGAAGTATAGTTTCCAAATGCCACGAGGGGCTGGTCCCCCTCTATTCAGCACTGGTGTTCCAGTTCTGAATGCCACCCTTCAAGAAGGATGCTGACTAATTGGAACAAGGTCCCATCTTGAATACTGTGTTCCATTTCTGGACGCCACCCTTCAAGAAGGATGCTGACCAATTGGAACAAGTTCAGAGGAGGGCAACAAGGATGATCAGGGGGCTGGAAACCTAGCCCTATAAGGAGGAAAGATGGAAAGAATGGGGCACATTTAGCCTTGAGAAAAGAAGACTGAGGGGTGATAGGAGAGCACTCTTCAAAAGGCTGTCCTACAGAGGAGGGGCAGGATCCGTTCTCCATCATCCCAGAATGCAGAACACGCAACCATGAGCTCAAGTTAAAGATAGCTAGATTTTGGTTGGATATCAGGAAAAAAACTTCCTAACTGTTAGAGCCGTACGACAATGGAACCCGTGACCTGAAGGGGAGGGGGCGAGCACTCCAAGGCTGGAGTCCTTCAAGAGAACATTATGGCCACCACCTGGTGACTTCCACATGGGTAACACCATGGGGTTGGGAATAAAAGTGAGAAATGCAAAACCTGTCTGATAAGCTCTCGCCTTGCATAGCTCCAGTGCCGTTGGGGATACAGTACTGTATATAATCTCTGGAGGCAGATCTCTGGAGGCAGAAGGCAGAACTGCCAGTATAAGGCTGCCGTTCTGCACGTTCTTTCCTGGAAGCAAGCCCCCTCCCACAGAAAACAGCAAGACTTTGGGGAAATTATTTTCTTGGACTACAGAACCCAGAATCCCCCAGTCAGCATGACATTGGCTTCAGCAGGTGGGGCTTTGGTGGGAACCAGCAGGAGGCCTCCTGTTCCCATTAAGCAGTAAGTAGGCTGAGAACTTTGAACAAAACTTTGAAAAGTTCCTATTCCGCGCATATTTTGTGAGTTGCAGGATTCTGGGCACGGTGGCCCCACGTTCTAAGCAGAACCAGTAACAGAGGCTTACGGACTTTGGGCCTTGGGATTCTCCCGGGAAGCTCAAAAAAAGGGGGCATCCCATGCTTTAGGCTAGAGGTGTCCAGATTTTGAGTTTTTCGGACTACAACTTCCAGTATCCTCCAGATAATTAAAAAACAAACAAGAATCCTGCACAGATTTACTATGGGGATATCCAAAGAGGACAACAATCACGGAGGGAGGACAAGAACGCTGGGTAAACCTGGCAGCAGTAGGAAAAGAGGAGAACTGGAGGTGAGAGGGGCCGACCCAGTAAAGGAAACCATGGGTTTGGGCTTGAAAGACAAGTTCGTGACGTAAAACTCGAAAGCGACTTTTTAGAACCGGGCTCCCCATCCCATCCCTTCGAAAAAGAAACATAGGAGAGAAAGAGAGAGAGAGAGAAAGCTATTCGCTCTTGTTGGGTCCTGGGAGTTCCCCCCCAGATGGATTCCGGACGGGACGGCATAGGGAGCACCACCCGGGAGGCGCTAGGACCGCGAGGATCCGCGGACGCCGGGAGGCCGCTCGCCGCTCCAGGAGGCGTGCCTTGGGGGGGCGCGGCTGTTTGGGGGGCGTGGCCAGACCAAGAGGAGGCGTGGCTCCCTAAGAGAGGGGGCGTGGCCAGCCTCTTCTGAGGGAAAAGTTTCGGCCTCTTCTCGGAGCGGCGTCCGGCCG